TATATATATATATATATATATATATATATATATATATATATGCCATTGATCAAACTGTCAAAGTAGATCACTTGGTTTAATTCAATGACACACATAGGCATGTATGAAAAGGACCTTGAGGGTTGGGAGGATTGGTTTTCTTAGATCAATACAAATATAAAGGAACGAGGAGGAATAAGGAACATGGTTAAGTCCTTATTTGATGAACTGCACAGCAGTGACTATCCCATAAAATAAAAAATTACTGCAATATTATCTACTCAAATAACTGTGGAGTTAAGTATCTATTCACTCCTTCAGCACTGGAACTTGTTTATAAAACTCAAAGAGATTTTTTTAAATGCAGTTATTTTGAGATGTTCCTAAAATTGTCCTCTTTCTACATGTAAATGTCCCATGATAATTACGAATAATTTCACGTTCATATGAAAAGCTATAAAGATTCAACAGATCTTCCATGTTTCCATTTTATTTTCACAGATTTATTTAACTTTGTTGATATCTGTATTTTGCAGATTATTTGAACATTAGAAAATGCAGGAAAAATAGCAGGATTTATTTTATGTTTCTACAAACCATTCGATAGACAAAATTTTGTCTCCCCTTTGTCTTGAAAAATAAACATTTAAACACCTCATGCAAACGGAACATTCCCTGGACACTTGCAAATTCTTTAAAGGAAGACATTATGCACACTGATTTTGAATATTCAGTCCCCCTTAAGGCGCACTTAATGGAAAAGGGCTATATATACCCTTTTCAACATTTCTTTTGAAGGTTCCAACCTTAATTTAGTCTCTACTTAAATAGGAAATTTAAAAAGTTATTCCTAGAGATGAAAAAAAAACTTTAAAAGACAGAAGGGACCTTAGAAATTAAAATCACATCCCCTCCTTTAAGACGTAAAACCCCGAGAGATCTCGGTTATTTCTTAAGGGCACGTGCTGATAAGAGGCAGAGCTGGTACGAACAGTGCTTTTCCCACGGGGCCACAGCCAGCACCTTGTTCTCACAGCAGCAGAGGAATCTCCTCCCCATTAGAACTGCCGCGGCCTGAGAATCTACTAACCTACTCATCCTCGAACACCGCACTGCTCCTTTCATTGAATATGCAAATTGACCTTTTACCATCAGTTTGCAAATTCCTTCCTGTTGTCATACAGCAAGACTTCCTGTTCAGAGACTGCCTCTCAGGTTTTCTCTAAGAATGCACAGTCAGTCACAAATCAGACTCTCACCACCTAGAAGCAGATGATTGGCAGTGGGTAAAACTACAGCGGGTGTCAAAACGATCTGTTAAAAAATTGGATGTTGAATGACCTCTAAGAGATCCCAACCAGAGACCCTCACCTGCAATCCTTCCTTCTCACCTCCTGAACTCATTCCCCATCCCAGGCTATAATTATAGATGTTCTGACTTAATAGAACAGAAAAGAAAACAATTGCAAGTTTTGGGAAGAAAATCAATTTCAGGTTTTTGAACACTTGGTAGTGAGGAATTTTGGTAAAACATCAGATGTATATCTTTCATATGTTGTTCTCTGTATGTCTCTTTCACTCCATATGTTACTTTATTCATCAGTTATCACTGATGAGTGATTTTATGGATGGGATTTTTAAATAAAAGATTAACTGGCCAAAAAAATGAATAACAACATTAACACTCCTGGTAACATACTTAAATATTCATTAATGGTGTAATGCCATTTTCTAAAAATATTTACATCGGTTTTAAGAAATGAAGTACTTATATTAAAAACTAAGCTAAGCAGTAAGCAGTAATAAAATTACAAGATAGCGACATAGATAATGATCTTCAAATTATAAGAAGAGTTCTCCCAAGCACAGTGTTTTCTATTTCCTGACAGAAACAGAATATTCCTACAAAATATATTTTAAAGCAATTTATGTTTGCCCTCCATTAGATGAGACCTAAAGAAATCAAATGATATACATATTCCAAAAAGAATTTTAGCTTCTTTAACAATCCAATGTGGAGCTACAATCCATGAATTTATCTAAAATCCTTTTGAATTTATTTAAATATCAAATAGCGAAAATTCATCAGTAACGAGTACTGATTCCTATAAGTTTATGCAAATACCTTGCATAGGAAGGATATATTTCAGCCTCAAAATATAATCAACAGATTTTTTTTTTTACTAATACTATATTATAAAAATCTAAAACCTTTAGGGCATTACAAACATGAGCTAGTGTCAAACTTTATTTTCCCAAACTTTTTTTTAGTCTGTGTTTATATAGAATTCATTCTATTCGCCTTCATTGTTTGACTTTTTTCTAGAGTTTTCTAATTTTGTGTGATGTAGTAACTATGTGTATCCATAATTTTCCTGATGAGAGTACATGCTGATATAACAAAAGCAAAAAAAAAAAGTGTTTTTCTGTTTCCTTTCTAATATCCTTTCTAATAAGCTTAGTATCATCTTGGCTTTTAAACAAATAGTAGCATTCTGGCCCATAACTTTGAAGAATAGTCTGGATTTATTTTCCAATATTTCAAGAAAAGGTCAAATCCATTATCCAGGACTTGAAGTTTAGACTAAATGGATCTTCCTTTCATTTAAATGGAAGCTGATCAGCTAATCTTCCAAATCCTACAAGCCATGTCCTAAGTTAAGTAATCAATACGAATCATTGTTAGATAACTAAAGAGATCCATTTAAAAAAAAAAAGAAAATGCTCTTTAAAAACAAAAACAATTTGGTCTCATACATTTATTTCCTGTGCAAAAATTCCATTTCTAACCTTCACCCACAAAATCCCTATATCAGTTTCACCCAATTATATCTAATGTGGGCCTGATTTGCTTCCCAACTACACAGTCTTGTAATTTATTTCATGGTGATGCCAATTAATTTAAAGTGAACTCTTTTCACAACTATGTGAAAAAGGTGGGATGTTGTCACAGCAGTAGTCAATTATTATATGAATAAAGAGTCACTTGCCCTGTGTTTCCCTTATTGTTTTGTCAGATTTGCCATTGCATTTTAATGGGAGAGCATGGGGAATGAATATTAAAGGAAAACTATTTACTTTAGCTATGCCATTTCAGAGGAATTTAATATGTTTTATTACAATTACTATTTATAGTGTGCATTTGAATGTAAAATATATATGCAAAATTAATTATAATCATAATTGAATAGATACTAGTGTGTTTCCAAGTATAACAAACAGAAGGTGGGAAAACAACATTTTTTAAATGACCTAATTTCTTTAAGAAACCACATCATTTTTTTCTCCTTATTTCATTTAAGATACAAAAATTGGATTGGATGCCTACTAGAGAAAAAAAAAAAACCAATGAAGTTTAACTGGGTTATTGTTTAGCCATTGAATATTTATGCCTTGTGTTGTGTCCAGATTAAAGTCAGCAATGAATATTTCTGAAAAACAGAAATCTGTCTTGTTAAATTCACATTTTTTCCTGGGGTGATGATTGTTTAACTATTCCTGGATATCTCACATAAAACATCATTTCATCGACTTATATTTTTACAAATAAGAATTTTGAAATGGTTAATTTTTTTTAAAATATGGTGTGGTCTCCTTATTCTGATACTTTTATTCATTATGTGCATTGGGGAAAATAAGTTGTAAATTAATTTTGTGAATGATGATGGCTTAGATACAAAATATAATAAATATCTGGTTCTTTTTAAAAACTGATAAGAAAAAATTAAATTTTTCATAATGTAGGTATATTAAATATTCTTATATTTGTTTCATATATTTTAATTAAAATATCTTACTTTAAAAGTTTCAGTTTGAGGTCTTTAAAAAGTAAATATTTTTGTGAATAATGCCTTTGAATTACTGTTTCTGTTCTTCTCTCCAAATATGTCATGTTTACCACAAAGACATAATCATGAATCAAAATCAAAAGACTGGTTTTCCTTACTTCTTATAAACAGAAAAGACAGAGGAAATTCCTATTATGTATTAGAAAAAATATATTTTGAAATTAATTATTCAAAGCAGTATTTGTTAAAGGTCTGAACATGAATCTTTTATGGGATCATACCAAAATCGATTATTAAAAACCAAGAGCACTTTGAGGGAGATTTAAATGTTGAATTTATGATTGAGCTACTAAAAATTTGCTTTTAAAGCATGTTTATTGTAGAACAACTCTATAGATTCCTTTATAGGATTTTCTTTTTTTGCTAGAAGCAGTCTTTTAAAATGAGTAAACAAGCCCCAACACTAAAAGATTAAAGATTGATTGGAAACTTCAAACAATGAGCCCTCACTGTGTTTTAAGCCGGATAAAAGCCATTTTCCCAAATGTAGTTT